CACTGCAAAACACAGGAGGAGAATTTGAGGAGCTGGGCTTTGATACCTTTCATGTGGGGCCATTCTCAGCCTGGAGAAGAGGAGGCTGAGGGGAGACCTTATTGCTCTCTACAACTCCCTGAAAGGAGGGTGTAGAGAGGTGGGGGCCGGTCTCTTTCCTCACGTCCAAGGTGACAGGACGAGAGGAAATGGCCTCAAGTTGTGCCAGGGGAGGTTCAAGCTGGATATTAGGAAAAATTTTTTCACTGAAAGGGGTATCAGGCATTGGAATGGGCTGCCCAGGGAGGTGGTTGAGGCACCATCCCTGCAGGTGTTCAAAAGACGGGTTGATGAAGTGCTGGGAGGTATGGTTTAGTGATGATGCTCCTTGTTTGTTGTGTGGGTGTCTATTTTTGTCAGTTAGGTTGACGGTTGGACAAGATGATCTTTAAGGTCCCTTCCAACCTAGAAGATTCTGTGATTCTGTGACTTGGACCTTCACACACCCACTTTCTGACCCATAACCACTTTGTGGGATGATTTTTGTGATACGGCATATCCAGCCCCTCCAATGGGCTGAAAAACATCTTTATATGCCACTTCCAGCCTGTTACAGGGAAGCTGGGGGGAGATGACATGTACTCAGGGTCCCAAAGGTGGGAAAGGGGCAGATGCTGGTGTCTCATTGTCTGCTTTGCTTTTTTCTGAGTCGCTCAGCAACTGTTTTATTTTCTCTTAAAGCAGGAAACAAGGCAGCGAAGATAACCTGAAATGCAACGACTTGCCCGACGTGGGAGAGGAGGAACTTCTTTCGTGAGCATCGACTTTATGGTTCTGTTCAGCAGCTTGGTCTGGGGCACGTGACTAACGTGTGCAGCTGAGGATGAGTGATGATAACAGAGCCTACACCAAACACAGCATGACATGGCGCTATTTCAGTATAATGCTGGATGTAGAGCTTACACAGCAGCATGTTATAAGACATCCGACTACTTGTCATAAACATTGAACATCTCCGATCGCTCGGAACTGCTGACTTCTCCTGGGAAAGGTGCTGGCTGATAGCAGGGAGGTGAGCCATCGTGTTGAGCAGCAACAGTGCTTTGCAAAAAAAAAAAAAACCAAACCCAAAACAAAAAAGCAGTCAAACAAAAATGCATTTGGAACTGCTTTTACCTGGTTTTAATGCCAAATAATTTCCAGGGACCAAGGCCAGCATCCCAGGGGTGTTGCTTGCCCATCGCGCAGTCAGTGGGCACACAGAGAAGGGCGAAGCTTTTGCCAAGTGGCAAAAAACAACAGTTAAAAAAAAACTACACGTGCGCACTTTGAGAGTTCACGACCTGCCGGAAATGTTGTTGCATCTGTTTCTCGTCGTTCTGGTTTGTTTTTAATCGACACCTTTTTAACTGCATGGGAACAAAGCAAAAACCCACCTTTTCAGCTTTTTAAAGAATGCCTGCCTTTGTGAGCCAAGTTGTATTAAACAGCATCTTCGGGGCGTTCAGAAAGTGAGCTTAATTACCTCCTAAGGTAATTAACGCCTTTCCTAAGGTCTTGGTGTGACTAGGACTTGGTAAGTTCAGTATTCAGTGTATGAAAGGAAAAGGTATTTAAGGGCTTAAGTTCAGTCTGAACTATTTTTGCTGCAGACATAGGAGTGAAAGGTGGCGTTTAGCTGAATGTTTGAACAGCAGAGGAAGCACTAACTACAGTTTGTTTCTATACCTTTTACTTGAGCTAGGTAGATATATTATTAAATATAAAATTCAGGGTAAAATCCTTCACTTCCATGTACATTACATGGTTTACTACAATTAAAAATAATACAACTTATGCTATTTTTTAAGTATAGATTTAGGGCTCGCTTAGAATTTAAGATCTTAATGAAATACTTAGATTAGCTAGTAATTTTCAAAGAAACTTTTGTTTTCCAAACTCTTAATCTGGATTTTGGGGCCAATGCTATGTATTTTTTGCAAGTTCGTTACGAGTAATTTGTGAATGCCTGTGGATCAGAGGCTTGTTAGTAAATTAAGTGTATACCTAATTCATGGGTTGTTTCTTATGAAGAGCTCTTTCACCTTCAGTCAGATTACTCTGATTATTTTGTGGTGCTTGTAAAAAAATAATAATCTGTTGTGTGGTGGGAGAGACTCTGGTGTCCAGACTCACTTTCCCAAGTTCTCTGTGCTCGGACAAAGCTGGGTAAGGGCAGAGTGTGGGTGAGCTGGAGAAGAGTCAGGGTTTGCTTGAGGAAAGGGGTCACGGTAAGTAGAGTTGTTTTTAGGATGGAGCAAGGGACAGACAGGGAAAAGGTGTGACCTCTCCTCTTCTCTTCTTAGTCCGATGTGGTTGTGTGACCTTGAATGAGGGATTTAAAACAATGGTGTCCTTGAAAGAGGGGGAGGATTTCAATGTCCCAAGCACGTAAGGGACCCCTAAGGTGTAATTCTTCGCCCTAAGAAGGCACTAAGAGACCCAAGTATTTTGGTTAACGGTCAGATCTCTGCCTGCTAACTCTGGGTCAGGGTGCCCTGCCTTTAGGAAGTGACTGTCCCCTTGTCTTCCTTGATTTTGGGCACTGCAAGCAGCAGTGTGGCGAGGTCCTTGGTCCTGCTGCACTCAGACCTGGCCCGGTAATTCCTGCTTAGGATGGGTCTTTGTTAAAGCCAGTGCAGCGTTACCAAGAGTGCAGGTGCCTAGACACACCGTCCCTTACATCTGCTGATCACTTGAAGAAATGCTCCCTCTAAATTGCAATTTATTACCGAAACATTGCACTGCTGGCCCCTCTCTGAAGCCAGTGATGATGGTTCATGGTTTAGGAGCAGTATTACAGAGTTTGGAGCCATAAGACACGCACTGTTCTCCTGTTTTAGCCCGAGGCTATGCCAAAGCCCTGCAGCATCAGCTACAGGAAACACCAAACAGGTAACTTGGGTACCAGCACCAGTGCAGCTGCCTGCTCCCCCTTTCCTAAACAGGACTATTCATTGTGGAAATGCGTGTGAGTGGGCAGCTGGGCTCTCTAACCTTGTAAATGGACTTGTTCTGCCAAAAAAAAGGAAAGGGAGAAAAAAAAAAAAAAAAAGAGGGATCTGATTATTTATAGCTGTTGCGTAGTAACGTGTGTGGTGTGTTTTGTTCCAGGTGAGGTGTAGAGATGCTCTGTGCTGCGTATCTGGGGTTTGTGATGTGTCGGGTGCCTAGTGAGACAGTTTACATTGACCAAACAGGCTTGGCCAGGTGCAACACAGCTTCTAAGCAGAATAAGCTGTACTGGTTCCTCCATGCCCAGCCACACAGTTCCTGGGCCTCAGATATCCCCATAGATCAGTGTCTTATGGCCAGCAGGGGCTTGGTTCCTAAGGATCCAGAAGCTCAGAGCTTCCTTAAGGCGCTCTCCAAGATGCTTGTCTCCGAGTGCCAGCTCCTGTAGGGCTGCAGCCAAATGCACGTTTCTGAAAGAAACTCAATTGTAGGTTTTTCTTTCTTTTTTTTCTTGTTGAGTAGTTCTGTGGAAAGCATAAAAGCTTGGCTGTGTGAGGAAGAGCTATCAAACTGCATGACCTGTTAGAGAAGCTGTACTGTACATATATATATATATATAAAAATTTGCTCAGTTCCCTAGCGGCTGTTCCTTAGTAGTAAAGCTAGCTTTTCTCTTATAGTGAGGTAAACATTTTGCTTGTGCCTTGGAACTGGGCTGTAGCTTGATTTCCCCAACTCCCTTCCTTTCAAGCAAGCCCAGTGCTGACTGTAGGCTTAATGCTGGGTACTAAGCCTTTTTGGCTCTGAAAGCACACAGGAAAGTGCTAAGGGGAAACCAGGCCTCTTGTCTCGAGTAGTTTTTCTTGGTGGTCCCCTCTTACCTATCAGGCAATTGATCTGTTTCTTTTCTAAGGTCCTGAACTATTGCTGATTTTTATACTGTTTGTTTAATGACCGAGGCTTGTGTTTCATTCCTACCCCTTTATTATGCATTTAACTTTATCAGGTGTATCAAGTTTAAATACTGTGTATTTACCACTTTTAAATTATATTACCTAAGAAGAAAAAAAAAAACCTAAGTGTTTTTCCACACAGCTGTTCGAGCATCTCTGTACAAGTTGAAATAAATGACATGCAACTGAATCCAGAGTTAAGTTGATAAAGTGGAAACATTATCCTGTTTGACTGGTCTTTATCAAGCTGTGAGAGTGTGCTTGTTGGAAGAGGAGTCTGAAAGCACCTTCCTCTGTTAGTCAACTCTGGTGCTTTACCATTACAAGGGATCTCAGGCTGGGATGAGACCAGAGTGGCTTTAGCCATTGCATAACCCAACCTGAGCCATTCACCTGCACAGACTGGAGCCCCAATTCCTAGAAAGGCACCATTTGAGTTGGGACACTCAGCTTAGAGCTCAGCAGCAGGCAAATAAAGAAGAAAACAAGATGCTAACGCTGTAGCAAACCCACCATGCTGCTGGAAGAAGGCAGCAAATCCCCAGCCAGGATGCTGAAGGTATGGAATACATCCTAGGGCTCTGTAACATTAGAGAAAGGTTCAGAGAAAGGGAAAAGCTGGATCACTACAGATGTTCAAGGCCATGCAAAGCTAAAAGCTGACAAATTCACTTAAATTGTCTAAACCCATTAAATGCAGCAGCCCAGATACAGGTCTGGGGGCGGTGGTGAAAAGCACAGGAGATGTGCCAGGGAACAACAGCTATGTTCTTCTGAGCAGTTGGTACCAGTGTTTGGCTAAGACCATGCTAAATTAACCTGCCCTGGCCTCCAGCTTTGAAGTCTCCTCCCTTGGATAGGGTTTTAATACACCAAGGTGGAGCAGAAGCTGTAGTTGCAGGAGCACTCTTGCTAAGAGAATCAAGAGGCAAAGGAGAGAGCAGCATTGGCTTTGACAGCTCTCCAGTACCAGTTGGTATCTGTGCAAAATGAAGACAGTTCATTGACCCTAACCTTCACAGGCCCTGGGGAAAATAAACAAGCAAAACCTGGCTTGCAGGACTCCAAGAGGGCTAAGAGAGAGTAATATTTTATTAAAGTAAATTTTAAAGTAGTACCGTAAAAATTGGACAACTGCTTTGTCTCCGTCGGTGGCTACTGGAGCTTGGAGACACAATTAAATAGTAGGCACAGGCTCAGCTAAGCATCACAATCCTTAAGGGCAAGGAAAAGTGATTTAACAACAGCAAGGAGCTGCTCTCCCAAGGTTAGACAACACCTGGCAGGGGCCATGTTCACTGTAAGGAAGAATCTGGGCCTGTTACCCTGTGCTCTCTGCTCCTGGTGAGCTCAGGGAAAGGACTGTCAAATGATAATGTTGGAGCAGTCTCTGTCCCAGGCTTACCCAGTGCAGAGGCCTGGCATAAAAGCACAGTTCTCCCTGTGTGTTTAGTGCAATTAACCTGGAATGACAGCAGACAGGGAGCAGACCTGGTTCTTCTCTCTGGGGTTGGCTCCAGCCAAGGCAGTGAGCAGTAGTGAAGAAGGTCCCTTTCTCAGGTTTGTTTCTCTCTTCCTTCCAACAAAGAGGGGGTGGGTCTCATGGCAGGGTCAGAGAATTGTCCACAGCAGCAGCTGGTGCTGTAGCAGCAGGAGGTCAGGAGTTTGTTCCGTATGTCTCATCGACTCCCTGCAAGGATACGAGACTGCAGTTCTCTGCCAGAAAACTCTTCTTTCTCCCCTTCCTCACACATAAGACACTGCACAGGCAAGCTGGACATTACATTTCCAACACCACAAGGTCTTTTGATTCAGAAATCCACCCTCTGCAGCAACACTTCCTACCAAGCTCTACCCTCAGCACCAGTCAAGCAACCCCACTAGCCCACTAAATCCTCTGCTGGCCATTTGGAACCTGAGGGGAGGCGTAGCTGTGGCTGTCCACATACTGGTCTCACAAAACACCAACCCATTGAATGGGTTTGTTCACAGCAGCAGGAACCCCCAAAAGCCAAGAGGGAAGGATTTGATGGGGACAAAGCCACTGTCTGCAGCTCTCAGAAGGCAACAGCCAACTATTGCAACCCAAAAAAGAGATGCAGTGGGAGCATGACAAGTTCTTGAATATACATTTCCCACTCCAAGAGTGGTTGCCCAGGAAACATTGCAATATTTGTTTCTAGCACTCCTCCCTGCAACAGCTTTGAGGTAAAAATTAGCTTCTCTGACAGACTTTCCTCAGAGCTGTGGTTCAAAATCCCTGTTTGATGTGGCCTTTCTGTATCCTGTTTCCAAATCTCTCCACATTCGGAGGAGGAAGCAATTTTGCCTTCACTCTGCCTTCAGTGATGCTTACCAGGTCGTAATCCTCCACATATTTGTATTTCTTCTCCCGATAGTAGTATTTCTTATTCATAAAATAGAGAACCACAATGTCACACAGCACTGTTGCCTAGTGGAGATTAAAAGAGTTTAAGACAATGAGCCTCAGAACTAAGGCATGAATCCACACTTGAGTCCAGGTGCAAAGACTGTCACTTACCACGCCAAACAGCGCTAAGCCAGAGCCAATGTTAATCATGGTAGGAATTACATCAAATTTTCCTGCCTAGAAGACAGTTACAAGGGGGAATATGTTTTTCAGCATCACTGAAAGTCCTCAACACAAGACCCCCAGGAATTAAGCCACCCTACCTTTCCAAACACTAGGATATCAAAGCGGATGCCATAAGCTTTGACAAGAGTCCGTGATTCGGTGCCGTTACTATCCTTGTAGTATTTCGCAAACCTGGAGAAAAGATAGATCAGAGCTTAGCTGGAGATTTTGAGGGCTTTTTATGTGATCATGCAACATCCAGGTGTGTGTCCCCATCCCGAAAAGACGGTACTTCCAGAGACAAATGATGATTTCATGCAGGCAAGCACATACAGGAGAAAAGCCTAGAACAGGCGATTTTAAGACGGCAGTTAGCACAAGCCAAATTAGTAAACTTTCGAAGCATAGGAAGGGGAGAAAAGGCAGCTTTAGTGGGGGAGCAAGGACAGACAGGAAGAAATGCAGCTATACATGACAATTAGCCGTCCCCAGGGGCGAGCAGGAGGCTGCAGGAGTGCAGGCAGCCACGAGAGGGCAGGGCCGGGAGCAGGCAGCCAGGGAGGCAGCGCAGCTCAGCCTGGCACACAAAGGCTGCTCCTTGTCCCACACAAAGCCAGCAAAGGACAGGGAAAAGGGATCAGGACAAATAAGTGGGATCAGACTTACTCCGCCACATGGTTGACTAAGCCAGGAGGAAGCAGAGAAGAAGGTGGAAGAGAAGAAGAAGGGTTGATAAGGGGCTGCACCACGGTCTGGAATTAGCAAGAGCACTTCAGAACCTGCACCAGCTGGGCTGTGATATCTTCCAGCTGGTCTCGCCTGACACCCCAAAGACCTGCAGGCCTGGCACCTTCCAAACACACACTTGTGCTCTCTGCATGTCAGCAGCTTCTCAGTGAATTCATTCAAGTCGCACCAAAAGAGCTAAGTGAGAGTTTGTGATTCTAGAAACAAGCATAGCCCTGAGCCGCGTTTCCTCATGGGCAGGACTCTTGCAAGGATCTTGGCAAGGTGGCCAACCCACCTTATTATAGCTCTGAGTTTGGATGCAATCAGCTACCCGGCTCTGCACTGGTGGTTTTACTGGAGGTGCTGGACCTCTTGGTGCTGGCCAGAGTGTGTTTGTGGTGGTGTATGCCAGAGTGATTCTCCCGGTGCAGATATGGTCTTCAACTGACAGAGCCACCTTCTAGAGGTTAGTTTTTCCCTCATGCACAGCAGAGGAGGTGCTTCAGTCTCCCACCCCCACACCCCAGCCCTGTTAAATACTGCCCCATCAGCACACCCTGAAACAGGCAGTTCTTACTGCCCTGCCACAGGAGGCTGGCCCAAACGGTTACCCAAATTCTGATGCAAATGTGGCTCAGGCACTCTGATGCAACCAGTGGAGCTCCACTGACTTTCCCTCTCTGCTGTGTTTGCACACAGTGAGGATCCCACCTGCTCTAAGTTTTACAGCATCAGAGAAACTGTCCAAGTTTTACAGCACCATTGAAAGTCCAAGGACTAACCCTCAGCTGCCAGAGGAGTGCAGGCAGCCCGTAGCACTCCACCAGCGGCAGACTGAGGCACAGGGTGAGCAGTTGCCCTCACTAGCCATGTTACCTGAAGTTGTAGCCAGGAGAGACATTGTGGGCAGAGTCCTTGTTGTCGAGGCGCCGGAAGGAGTACTTTGGCACACAGTAGGAAGCAGCTCTGTCAAGGTTGCAGTCCCAGTTGATCTGCAGTGCCATGACTCCACCCTGCCAAGCAGAGGAGAGGAGAAGGTGAACAGTCCAAGGACCTGGCTAGTCCAGCACTAGGCTCTCTGCTCACCAGGACCCTGATTTACTGGCCCTTGTCCCAGTCCCAGTCCAACACTCTTTCCCCCTGCTACAGAAGGACCTTGCACACAACCCCACCCAAACAAGCCAAGGCCAAGTGTTTAAGTAGATTGACTTCAGTCCTTTTGGCCAGAGCAGCTCTCCATTTTGCAGCTACTCTGTGTCCTGTGGCTCACGCCACGAGGCATAGGGGGACAACTACCTACCACTCCTCTTCTACACTGCTGAGGCCCAAGAGAAGGGGCTGCCAAATACCTCCACAGCCATTTCCTGGAAGTCCTGCCCTGCAGCTTGAACTATTTTCCCTAAACGAAAGATAGGGCAGAAGGGATCTGTCTCAGAGTCATAGATGCAGTTCTTGAGGTAGGTGGAGTTGATATCAGGGAGGATGTTTCGCCTATGGGGGAACAGAGAGAGAGTATCTGTTGCATCTTCTTTCATTCCTCCAGCTCCCCTTTACTGTCCAGGAGACCAGAGAGCGCAATGCCCCACATGCTCTTTACTTGCTGAAGCTGAACTTGGGGTACCAAATGTTGTTCTTCACCAGAATGGTGAAGTTCTCAGCTTCTTTCAGGAATGCTGGCCTACAAAACAGTAAGAAAAGGAAGTAAGTTTCACTTATATTTTCATAAGCAGGACTCTGCAGGGTTCTTGGTGTTCACCTCTTCGGCTTTTCCCAATAGCATCCCACAAGGAGAGACATCAGCTGCATATTGCTAGCCTCCTCTCAAGAGGGCCACCGCAGAGTAGGAAGACAGAGCACTCACTTGGGTATATGACTGTCATCCTCCACAGGACACCACGCAAAGACTTCACAGGTCTTAATGCTGCTGTTGTAGGGTACACACTCCCCAGTCTGGATGCCTGGAAAGACACATGAATGGAGGTACTACCTAGCGAAAACACAGGCAGTATTTGCCCCATGGTATTCTCCTCACTCCATCAAGTGAAAGCAATTGGCTAAGAGGTGAAGTGCCAGTATCAAAACCCCCATTATCTTCCATTGCAGCTTGTAGTGCAATTTCAGAAAAAGAAGCATCGGGGTCTTTTTCTGAGTCAAATCCACATCTATGTGAAATACTGCTTCACGGACTGAAGGTCTTGAGAAAGCCCTCACAGTGTTTGCCAGCTCATCAAAGCACACATCTATCCAGCATCAGCCCAACACAGTCTAAAGCCCATCTGCTCTCCCCTAGCACAAAAATCTGAGCTTCCCTTTCAGTTCTCTTAGGTGTGAGAGAATGAGAACAAGGAGACTGAAGTGAAATGCTGCTTCCTTCACAGGAGGGAAGGCACAGCACAGAGGTATCTCAACATGGACTGAGAGGAGCCCTTGCAGCGGGCTTCTTACCACTGCTGTGGATGCTGACATATCCTGGAACACAGTCGTTCTTCACCTTGCACACTGTTTTACCTTCTGGAAGCTGGAGAGGAACAATAATTACACTACACTCTACAAACTCTCCCCCGCACACCCACCCACACAAGGCAGGATTAAAGCAGATCTTGTATCTACCGCTGGGCAGTGGCCTTGGCGCTGATTTAGTGTGAGTATCACGTTGGTCATGACAAACACGCTGTTCTCCTCCTGAAAATGCAAAACAAGAAAGAAATTTAAGAGTGCCAGTCTGCAAAGAATATCCAAGGCACTGCCCCAAATGTCTTTGTTGACAGAGCCCAGGTAGCCCTGCAGAAAGGACTTGCTTTGGACAGTGCTGGTGTAGCACTATAGGAGCAGATTCCCACGTGTATCATCTGATGTTGCAGCCTTTAGGCAGAGGAAGGACTACGGGACTAATAACCTCCCACTTGGCCCAAATTTCCTCATTCACATTATGAAAACAGAGATCACACAGGTCCTCAGGGGATTCGCAAGGCAGGATAAAGTTCCAGCTGCAAGTCTGAGCACAACTGCCACTCTTTTTTTTTTTTTTTTTTTTTTTTTTTTTTTTTTTTTTTTTTTTTTTTTTTTTTTTTTTTTAATACATATAATAGAAATTTGACGGGTCCTGGTTCATTTCTCCAAGGACCACGACTTCCCTTATTTTCAGGTCTGTACAATTCAAGATCTGTTGTTTGCTTCTGCTCCACTGATATGCAAATATGATCACTCAGCCAAAATCTGGCAAAATCCGTAATTTTTTTCTGCACAACATCTCCCACAGACAGAGTGCCCCACGACTAGCAACTTGACTGTGCCTCCTGGCCCTGAAGGCCGCCACGTGTTGCCCACACACGGCAGACTCCCACAGACACACAGTCAATCAGTAACTACAGCAATACCTCCTGTTCAGTTCCGGATCAAATAACTCGCAGGCTCTTCCTGGGGTTTCTGCCAACAAGTTAACTTTGAATTGTTTGCTTTAGAAAGCAGTAAGGAAGCCGACACGTGGTTAGTGTTGCAACTTTTTCCTGAAGCCTGCAAAATCCTCCCTCCTATACACATACAGACACACTGCTCTAGAAACAACCTTCCCCAGGGCTAGTGGTACAGGTGCTCGGTGTGATCTGCAACGAAGCAAAGCTGCTTCATTCTCTCGTATCAAAGCCATGCTGGACCTGAAGCTGCTCCAGAGCTCCGTGGGCTTTGGCAGAGTGATGGCTGTTCAAAAACCTTCTGCATGTGGAAGCGATGGGTACCTGAGGGGGGATGACGTAGTCAGCCACGTCCCAGATCCTGGTTCCCAAGGCGGATGTGTTTGTCACCGCTACTCCTTTCACCTTTGTGGTTACGGAACTGACCACAGAGTCTGTTTCCTGGTAGCCCTTCTCCCACACAAACACCCACCTGCAAGAGAAAGATTGCAAGAAAGACACAACAGAAATCAGGTAAACACCATAACCCAGCACAGGCAGTGGAAACTTCCCCTTTTTTTTTTCATGCGTCACCTGAAAGGGCTGGTCCAGTTTCACAGCGTTTCCCTACAAAAGGGTCACAGGACGAGCAACCTCCCCTCTAATTTATTTATTTTTTTTTTTTACCAGAGTGGTTTGGCAGGGTGTAATTATTGCTTTTAGGCACAGCCCTGCTGGGTGAATGACGGTCCCACCCAGGGACAGGGTTTCCCCCCCCTGAGGGGACCTGTCCTGCCGGCGGCTGCCTCCAAGCAGCCCCACAACTCCGGCTGGGCCGTCCCACCACCCGCTCGTCGCCTCCCGGTGTTGACACCCGCGACCGAGCCCCGGCCTCCCCTCAGCGGCCGCTTCCCGCCACCCCCGCCTCCCTGACAGAAAATGAGGGCACCGGCAGCCACCTTCCTCTGAGGGAGGCGGCCGGCTCCGGCCCTTCAACTTCCCGCCCCACCGCGGAGGGGGGGGCTCCCGGCGACGACCCGGCCATTCCCCCCTCATGGCAGCCGTTCCGGCGGGGCTGCGGGCTTTCCCCCGAGCGCAGCCCGGCGGGGAGGGGGACGCAGGCCGGCAGCGGCTGCCGGGTCACCCCCGCTCACCCGATCACGTAGGCGAGGATGGCGAGCTGCACCGCGCGGTTCATAAGCCCCACTTTGCGGCTCCGGATCAGGACGATGCGGGGGGTGTCGTACTCGAAGAGAAAGCTGTGGAGAGCCCCGCACGACACCATGGCGGCCTGGCAGGGCGGGAGGGGAGACCCACTAGGCCGGGCAGCCCGGCGGAGCCACAGCGCCCCAAGCAGCGCCGAGAGCGTTCCCGCAGCCCCCGGGGCTTGTAGCGGCTCGGGCTCTTGATTGCCGGCCCTCCCTCGCCAGCTGCGGGCCGCCTGCCAGCCACCGGGCCTGCCCGCGGCCGAGGAGGAGGCGGTAGCGGCTTCCCGGAGGTGCAGCCTCCCCACCCCGGGCTGTTTTCCGAGGGAAAAGGGGTTCACGGCCGCCCTGAGCCGCCCTTAGCGGGGCCACAAGGATGCCACCAAGATGCTCAGAGGGATGGAACACCTCTGCTATGAGGTCAGGCTGAGAGTTAGGGTTGTCCAGCCTAGAGAAGGGGAGGCTCCATGGAGACTTCAGAGCCCCTTCCAGTCCCTAAAGGGGCTGCAGGAGAGATGGGGAGGAACTCTTGATCAGGGAGTGGAGCCATAGGACAAGGGGGGACTGTATTAAACTGAAAAAGCAAAGATTTAGATTAGATATTCGGAAGAAATTCTTTACCGTGAGGGTGGTGAGACACAGGCCCAGGTTGCCCAGAGAAGCTGTGGCTGCCCCATCCCTGGAAGTGTTCAAGGCCAGGCTGGATGGGGCTTTGAGCAACCTGGTCTGGTGGGAGGTGTCCCTGTCCAGGGCAGGGGGGTTGGAACTTGATGATCTTTAAGGTCCCAGTCTATGATTCTAAGACTGTCACCCTCCCATCCACAGTGAGCGCCCTCTTTATTTATCACAGTCTTAAGTGAATATTCAGTGTAGTTCTTTCCAAAAGAAGAGTCGGTTCATGTGTTGGAACAGGAATGCATTAATGCCAGCTGTAATATTTTCTCACTCTAGATACATTAGATGCTGCAATATAAATGCTAATACAATTAATACATATTACAACTACAGGTACAAATATAGCTGGCATAATCTGCCAGCAATGTATCTTAAAACATAGGTGGGAAATGGAAATAGCAAACTCCCGGGTTAGCTCAGAAAGAACAAAGCTTAGTTGAAAGGAGCGCAAAATATACGTTACAATCCTTCTCACCTTGTTTCTACAAAAATAGAACATCTCCAAGTATAACAAAAAAAGAAAGAACTGAAAAGGTGTTGGAGCACAGGTTAATCTACCCTGAATTTGCTGCTCCTTGGCTCTACTCTGGCCTTATGCATCGTAGCACAAAGCCACTCGCGCTGTGCAAGTTCAGCAGGAGGAGGTATAGGAGGCAAGGCCTGTTTGAAGCTAATAGCAAACAGGAGGCCAAAGTCCTACATTACTATTTCAAAGTATGAATGAAATGCCCAAAAATATTACACAAAGATGGTAAAAGTACTTTTCGATGTAATTCCCAAGTTCAAGCTAAAAGGAGTAATACAAAGAGAACAGCTGGGCTTTTCAGAAAATGCTTTGTCCGTGCCACTGAAATAATCTAAAATGAGCCTGTTTAATCTGGATCGACCATGATGACTTCAACTGTGAGTTATGAAACTACATGCTCAGTGGCCTCTTTCCAGGGCCTCTCGATCCAGGGCTGCAGAAAGGTGGTGAGGCCGGAGGAGAAAAATGCTCAGGACCACGTTTTCAAGTGATAGCTCTTTTGGACTTTCTTCCTTCAAGGGGTCATGCTTCGAGATGATTCTTGGCCCCATCTTATTTTCAGGTTGTTGGTCATCTCCTAATGCAGCTGGGATTCTGGTACGTACCAGTGTAAAAGCAGGAGGTAAAACCTCCCACTAAGCTGTTGCCCTAAGAATTCACCCCAGATCCTCCATTTCCAAACTATGTGGGGTAACTCATAGAATGAAGCAGAGGCAGAAGCAAGCACTTTAGCTCAAGGTGTTTGTTCTTCTGTGCTAAGCAGTAGGCTATTATGGCTCTCCAAAGACAATATACAAGAATTCAGCTGTACTACAGAAGATTTTGGGAAGTCACACGCTTTCTTCTCTTTTTTTTTAAATTTTTTTAAAGGTCCATGAAAGAAAACAAAGGTTAAATGTCCATGGTGAGATCTCAAACTGTGCTACATCCTCATTCTATCTTAAAACCAGTGTAGTTGTTGACTTATTTGGGATAAGTATGTTTAATTTTCCACCTGCAGCAGCTTGGTATGATGGCTCTGTCTTCCAGCTCAAAAAAGCCAAAGCGCCAGCGAACGTATTGCTTGTAAGCAAGGTGCCGCAGCTGGTTGTTGATGTTGCCACCTGTCAAGTCCACAAAGGGATCTTTGTAGAGAAGGGCTTTCTTCAGGGTGTGACGAGAGAGCACCAGCTGCTGAAACCAAGGGGAAGTTGTGATGCACTGCCCTTTTTTCCTTCGGCAGCAGAGCTGCTTGTGGTACTTCTGTGTTGGCTGGCATTTGCCACAGCAGCACCACTTTTGGCAGTCCGAGGAAGAGGCCTCCCCTGTGAGAGGTTGCTTCAGCTCGTATTTTTCTTTATCATCGTTCTCTGCGGACTCAGTGGCACTCGGTGGCTCAGATCCCTCATTATCCTGTTTTTCGTTGGACTCGCTGGTGCAGAAGCTGTCAGCATCAAAGAATTTCACAGGGTGGCTCTGCAACAACAATTCCCAACATAAATTAAAGAAAACAGCATTTGCTGCTTCATCCAACTGCAGAGAGAATTTACAACAGTCATCCTCACCATTGGCTGCCCAAAAATATTACACAAAGATGGTAAAAGTACTTTTCGATGTAATTCCCAAGTTCAAGCTAAAAGGAGTAATACAAAGAGAACAGCTGGGCTTTTCAGAAAATGCTTTGTCCGTGCCACTGAAATAATCTAAAATGAGCCTGTTTAATCTGGATCGACCATGATGACTTCAACTGTGAGTTATGAAACTACATGCTCAGTGGCCTCTTTCCAGGGCCTCTCGATCCAGGGCTGCAGAAAGGTGGTGAGGCCGGAGGAGAAAAATGCTCAGGACCACGTTTTCAAGTGATAGCTCTTTTGGACTTTCTTCCTTCAAGGGGTCATGCTTCGAGATGATTCTTGGCCCCATCTTATTTTCAGGTTGTTGGTCATCTCCTAATGCAGCTGGGATTCTGGTACGTACCAGTGTAAAAGCAGGAGGTAAAACCTCCCACTAAGCTGTTGCCCTAAGAATTCACCCCAGATCCTCCATTTCCAAACTATGTGGGGTAACTCATAGAATGAAGCAGAGGCAGAAGCAAGCACTTTAGCTCAAGGTGTTTGTTCTTCTGTGCTAAGCAGTAGGCTATTATGGCTCTCCAAAGACAATATACAAGAATTCAGCTGTACTACAGAAGATTTTGGGAAGTCACACGCTTTCTTCTCTTTTTTTTTAAATTTTTTTAAAGGTCCATGAAAGAAAACAAAGGTTAAATGTCCATGGTGAGATCTCAAACTGTGTTACATCCTCATTCTATCTTAAAACCAGTGTAGTTGTTGACTTATTTGGGATAAGTATGTTTAATTTTCCACCTGCAGCAGCTTGGTATGATGGCTCTGTCTTCCAGCTCAAAAAAGCCAAAGCGCCAGCGAACGTATTGCTTGTAAGCAAGGTGCCGCAGCTGGTTGTTGATGTTGCCACCTGTCAAGTCCACAAAGGGATCTTTGTAGAGAAGGGCTTTCTTCAGGGTGTGACGAGAGAGCACCAGCTGCTGAAACCAAGGGGAAGTTGTGATGCACTGCCCTTTTTTCCTTCGGCAGCAGAGCTGCTTGTGGTACTTCTGTGTTGGCTGGCATTTGCCACAGCAGCACCACTTTTGGCAGTCCGAGGAAGAGGCCTCCCCTGTGAGAGGTTGCTTCAGCTCGTATTTTTCTTTATCATCGTTCTCTGCGGACTCAGTGGCACTCGGTGGCTCAGATCCCTCATTATCCTGTTTTTCGTTGGACTCGCTGGTGCAGAAGCTGTCAGCATCAAAGAATTTCACAGGGTGGCTCTGCAACAACAATTCCCAACATAAATTAAAGAAAACAGCATTTGCTGCTTCATCCAACTGCAGAGAGAATTTACAACAGTCATCCTCACCATTGGCTTTTTCATTTGACACAGCACAATAGGGATAATGATGATAGATCAGCAGATCTGGAGGAGGATTGTCTTTCTGTGTTGCCAACACCCACCCTAGCGAAATCGAATCGACACCTCGCAAGTTGTTTCAACACCAACGCACTCCCGCTGACACATACCCACCACAGGAAAGCAGCAATTTTCAGATGACTGTAGAAAATACATCCTCTGGACCTTTTAACTTGAAGCAGACAATAGGGATCTAGTTTTAGCCCCTCAAAACCTAATCGAGAAATACAGCAGGGTGGAACTGACAGAAACCCAAATCAGTTTGGAATGACAGCCCTCAGTTCTCCCTTCTGAAGGGAGAATCCCAAAGGTTAAGTGTTTTTACCTCAACAATGCTGCCTTCAGCATGCTGCAAGCTTGTTTTCAGAGGTGTCTTTATCAAGATAATGTGTGGCTCATCAACATGGGACACATACATCACCTGTGCAGCAGAAGAAATGAGCATTGTCAGCTGGAGTAGTTACTTGGAGAACGGGGGACAAACACAGCATGGATCTGACCTCAGGGCATGGGTTCTGTACTCCAGTAACAATTCCCTGCAACTGCATGTTGCAAGGGCCCATATTTCCAGTATCTGGGATAGCAAGGGCCTGGGGAGCTGTGGCGCCAGAGGGAACAGGAAGAGATGGTATTGCACTAACTGTAGGAGTGTGGTTGTGCAGGGCCCTTAGGTACTCTCCTCTTCACTCTTCTTTAAAAATACATGTCTAAAATACCGGGGGATTAGTAGAGGCAGCCTAAATAAATAGCCATTTATATCTTGAAAAACAGGAAGAGGCAACTGAAGTTGACAGGGAGGAGTCTTTGAGCAATGCCCTCTTCGTGGAAACCCTTTCATAATGTCCTTCAGTTACATTGAAGGATCATATTCTCTGTGGGTTTCCCTGATGGAGCTGGTGTGACTCAGCTGTGCTAAGGTTGTGTGTAGAGCCCACTGCACTCATGCAGTGCATGCCGTGCACAGCTCCATGGAACCTTCCTGGATCAGCTGCATTTTTGTATCCATAGAGCAGCAATTTACATTCTTTACCTCTGTTGGATTCAGCACAGTCTCATACTTTTTCCTGATGTAAGTTTTGTAGAATTCTGATTTGCCCCAGCGGGGGTGACTCATGACAAAAATAACAATTTCAGTGGCAACCGCAACCTGCACATGAAAAAAAAGCAAGTAGTGATTCCACTTTCTTAATGAGACTGTATCTGCAGAACTGGTTGTATTAATACAAAAAATAAGTCACTCACCAAACCAACATAGGAGATCACGGACCCAATGTTTTTAATGAGTTTGATGATGTCAAATTTTCTACCCTTAAAGAAAGCAGAAAAGAATAACTGAGAGGCAAGATCTGTTACCGTTCACTCAGCTTAATGGCTTTTCTCTTTTTGTCTCTTCACAATGTATCTCTATCTCTTTACAATTCAATCAATCCCAAAATTTCATAGACCATCTCAGACACTTTGTGGGGGAGAATAAACCACTTGAGAGGGAAACAGTGGTGACACGTGGGTTTCATGACAATATCATCACGTCATGGTGATATCTGTTATTCTCTCAGTCTTAAACCACAATCCTGCCTCTCTCACAGCCCTGCCATTTCATCCTTAGCTTTTCTCTCCTGTGCTGCTCAGTTCTGTTTAGATCTACTCATCTGACATGACTTCCATTCCAGACTGACGGACAGGAGAGAGGAGAATATGGCAGAAGTGGGACTAAGGAAATAGCAAGCTTTCTTCTCCCTCCACAAGGAAAAAGAATTGCATTTACTGTGCCAAAGACAAGGACATCAAACCGTATTCCATAGACTTCGAAAAGGGTTCTCTGCTCCTCCCCATGTGGCGTCTTGTAGTATCTTGCATATCTGCAAAAGAGTAAATGAAGATGTGTCCAGCTTCCCTAGGGAATATAATCAAAAAAGAGGCATAGTTTCTTCTCCCTTCTTCCTCCAGCTCTTTCAGCCTTCTGAAATGAAGGTGCTGAGGCCAGCCTGATGAACAGTATTTTGCCCAACATCTGACCTGGCAGTCTAAACTACATTAATACGTATCTAGAGATTCAGACAAAGTAAAAATCCAACTTATGTCCAATGAGTGTTTTGCCATCTCAGTTCAAATTGGAACCTGAAGCTGCAGAAAGTTCAATCACAGGTAAAGCAGGTAGAAAATCCCAGCAAGGCTATGTGAGGAGCTGGCAATGACAAGAGTGCCCAAGCTCTGAAGGCTTTAATATCATGTTATCCAAGACCAACTCTGAACTTCTGAGCACACTTCAGCATGCTGGGTACCAGCCATTTTCCATTTGTCAATCAATAGAGAGTTGGAAGAATCATGTGGGCCTTTACTAACTTCCAGTTTCTTATGCTATCAAGAACACAACCCTCCTGATGCACAGCTCGCATCAGCTTATGGATCAATAAGCAGAATAAGAGCATGGAACAAAGAGGCCTTTTTAAATCTGACAATGAAAAGCTGGCAGTACAGACAAAATCATTACATTAAACTGAAAGACATACTAAAACACAGAATGGTACTAATCACAGAATCATGCAATCATCATGGTTGGAAAGGACCTCTGAGATCACCGAGTCCAACCATAATATCCAGTCTCTGATAACAACATCCATATGTTTTCTGCCTCAGACATGCTGTCAGGGTTTGAAGTGCTGTATTGTTCTTGACTGATTTACTTGAGTGATCTCTAAGTCCTGGTTCTCCATTTAGATAAATAATTGGAATGGGAAGTTACTTAGCTGAAGGGACAGAAGGTGAGTTCCAGGAGTGGCAGATACTCATTGATGACTGTTGTTGCTAATCAAAATTTGTTGCCTGTTCAAGTACCAAAAGAGTAAACTGTTTAAGAGGATATGTCTGGTGTAAATGCCATCAGCTCAGACCTCTGCTTTCTAGCATCTCCAGGTACTCATTCGGATGACAGAGACTTCTAAAGAAAAATACACTTTCCTCTTTTCCTTTCTCTTTGGGTTCAGTCTCTGCAGCTCTGCATTGCCATATTGACGCTAATAAACCAGCCCAGAGCAAGCTTTTACTTGATTCCACTCTCTCCTGCACATCCTACTGCAAGCTAAGTTTGGTAGACTTTCAGAATGCTTTTAATCAGAGTTCCCTAGATCATGCGATTATTTGCGTCCCATTTGCCGCAATCTGATTTGTATAATCTGAAGGCAATGAGTCACTCAGAAAAACACACTGTAACATGTTCTGCTTTTTCCTTGCTTGCACAGACGTGAAATGCCCTTTTTCCTGTGCTGAACAGTTCCAGAGTCTGTGGCCAAGAAACAGACTTTTTATGGGCCAGCTCTTAGCCTCCGAAGCCTGCAGGTCACTTAGGATTTATTTGAAAGTTTTCCTAACTCTTTCCAGGATCAGAGGTTTTCTCTAGCCCTCAGGGTAGAGGTTATTTCACGTCTGCTCTTGATAGCATAGAAGCCTTCTCCTCTGTAACAGCTTTGTGCTCAGAGCTGCCCTGTTAAGAGCTTTCATCGCTGGCTGGAGGTTTGCTCCCTAGCACCTCAAGTAGTTCTTTCAGAAGGCTAAAGCCTGTTTCCATTTAAGTCTACCACAAAATTCCCTTTTGAACTGAGATGAAATCAATAGAACTCCATGCAGATGGAGGTCATAAGCTGCCCAAAGTAGCTTTACCGAGTTCTAGAACAGCAAGACTGCAGAGGAAGCAGCATTCTGTACATGCCCTGTTTCTGATGCTCTTTTCTGAAATTTTCTCCTGCTACTGATCTTTGTTAGCTTTATGACACTGGGCTGGATGGACCTCTAATATGATAATATTTTACATTCTTATGATATGTCACTGATTTCCAAAAATTTAAATGGAGGATCATTTCTAGCTCTCCCCCGCTTACTCATTCAGGCAGTTCTACTAAAATCAGCAGCTCTGTTTTAACAAGTTGGCATTCAGTAGCTCAACAACGTGGCAGGGTTTGTGCATGTTCTTCACCAAACTTCCATGCTTGTTTTAAGGGGTATTATGCTCAATCTACTTACTGCTCTTCAACTTTCATTGCCTTTGCTTTTTAACTTGCTGCACTGAACTATGCTGCTCCTCTTTTTTAATTTTGGAGCCATTAGAGCATGACATTTATTTGTCAATAAATCTCTTGATTAAGAGAGACCAAATCAGGCCACCAGGATGTGGTGTCATGCACACTCTTCCAGCAGCCTATGTTCTCAGACCAGGCTCACTTCCTGCAGCAAAATAATGCTTCCTGCAGCTGAACTATAGCAAAATAATCTTGCTACTGACTGGTATTTCAATACTTAAGAGATAACAAATTTTGAACAAACCCATTCTTGGCATTTTGATCCCAGTTGTTAATCTGACACTAAACATCCTCAAAACTACTCCATTGTCTTCTTTCAAAAGCTGCCTCAGAAACTGCTTTGCCTGTAAAAATGTATTCAACAGAAAGGTTGCTGGCCTCAGCCTCACAGCACTGTCTTGCTTTTTCCTTTCTCCTCCAGCTCCTGTCTGCAGTTGCCAGGTCAGAGGCAGCACCTATTTGTTCTTTGTTTGCACAGCTCCAGCACAACGCAGCTTGGAACACGCTGGCAGCTCCTATACAGTTATGGCACTCATGTTAGCATCACAAATGTATGAAAACCCACAATGTAATAATAATCATGCCATGAGTCAAAAAAAAGAGGGCTGTTACACAAGAGTTTTGACATAGATCTGAGGGACATCTTTAGTTTTAAACATGCTGATAAGCATTTGATAAATGCTTTGTGTAATTATTTAGAACTGGAGTCACGTCAAGATTTTTTGTCAAAACTTCTTATAAATCTGCTATATGCATACAGAACCAAAAGCTCTAATTTGCTTTTGAATAAATCTTGATTCAGTGAACTGTGGGGGTTACCCAGATGGAAGAAAAACACTTTATTTTATTTGTGTTAATTGCTTTGGGAAACTCACAAGTATAGGTAGTGTTTTCAAGCCTCAATTGCCATATGGTGGAATATGCCCAAACTATTCTGTGTTGGCTCCCAGAATACTTGTTGGAAATTTCTATGCCTTTTGACACAGAAATAAAATCTCCTGCAATACAAACGTGCTCATTTGGAAGACGACCATGGTGATACATCTATACAACTGCAGTAGCTGCAGGTTAAGGACATAACTACCAGACTGAAGAAGGAGAATCAAACGACTTATCATTCCAAGTCATCATTCCCCATATTTCATCACATCTTTGCTTCACCTCAGAAAACAAGCTACTTGATTCATATAATATTTTTTACCTGAAGTGGAACCCAGGCATTGTTTTATTGTCATCAAGGCGCTGGAAACTGTACTTTGGACTGCAGCTATAACTCCAGCTGTCCAAGTTACAGTCCCAGTTAATCCGAATGGCAATGATTCCTCCCTAGAAACAAACACAGTAAGCTTAGGGCATGGACACATCTCCATAGACACACAAACTCACAAGCAACATTTGCCAATAAAGCAGTTTTGTCTGGATGTGACTTAGTTACATGAGCTAGAAGCTATTATTCATTTAGGCCTTTCCTATCTTCTGTCTATTTCTCTTTACCTTAGTAGCACAAATGTGGATGTAGCTGATACACTATATACTGTGACGGTCATTTTGTTGCTTTAAACTATGTATAGGCTCAAACCGAAAGCCTGAGTGCAAGCCTAAGTTTTGTAAGCACCCAGACCAAATGTTTCATCTTGAACACGCTGTGCCAGGCTAAGAATCAATAAATGTGGCTCAGTTGATGACTCTGGGCAGGAAGACACTTTGTCTCTCCTTCTATCTACCCATCTGTTAATATTGACCTTCTAGAAGTATGGCTGGATACTGTCTTAAGGCATTTGGCTCAATATCCTAAGGAACAGAGTGAAAATGTAATGGCAAAAATAAGCGTTTTTTGACTCCATGTCTTCTCACACAATCACTTTCTAAACCTAGAACCATTCCATTATATGGCAGACAGCAAAACATACAGGAAGAGAATCAAGAAAATGTTTTAACACTGAACATGAAAAAAAAGTGATATCACAGACCTTTATTGCCATCTCAGAAAACTTCTGATTTGCTTCTTGAACAATGTCTCCCAGACGGAAAATTGGACAGAGTGGGCAAGTTGTCTTGTTGTATGTGCAAGAATTATTAAAATTTTCTGGAATATTTAGTCTGTGAAGAACACATACAATTGTTTACATTTAAAAACAAGCTGGAGCAGATAGATACAGGTAAGGGACTTCACACTTACTAGAACCTGTGTTAAATGTGCTCGGTTTGTAAGCATACAAGCTTTTGGCTTTGTAGTTACCAGATCTGTGTATCCCTAACTGCGATCTGGGAATGAAGATGAATTCTTTGCTCTTTGGATATTATTGCCAGCAAAATTACCTGTGTAAACCAAACACATTCACTTTATAATTTGAGTTACACATCTGCTGTGCCATATTTTAGTGATTTTACTCCAACATGAACCAGTATATCTGAATGAACAATTCTGTTGTCCAGTGCATGAGAGAAATAGAGTTATGCTGAGAGGCTCTGTTCCCAAGCTCCCATTATTTCTCTTGGTTCCTGGAGGATTCATAGGGCTAAAGAATTAAAGAAACTTGGTAGCTGTCACTCAGACAGATACAGCCCTGAATGCATAGGCCTTTTGAGTAAAGAAGGTGCCAATTTATACAATCATTTTTTCAGAGCACAACTACTTCAGAAAGCATTGAGGAATGTTTGCACTTACTTGGTGGAATTAAATTTTGGGAAGTTAATGTTGTTCTTTATTAGCACAGTGAAGTCTTCAGAACTCCTCAGAACAGCAGGCCTAAAAAAAGAAACATCAAATTAACTAACTCCTTTTACTTAAATACATCAGCTAATATTATGCTACTTTACTATTACCTGGAAAGCTGTCAGTAGGAGGAATATGTTGCTAAGAATAACAGATTGAAATGCAGGGAGTTAAGTGGTTCAGGGCATCAAGAAAGAGATGTTCTGTCTCTATTGGATTTGTTTGTGTGGGCCAAGCCTAACTGGGGTCTGTACCAGCAGCTGAAATATGGTCTCTGGAAACCTCTCGTATAAATCTTGCTATAGAATAATAGTAAGAAATTTGACAGCTGATGATTTCTGCACAATGAATTGGCAGTATTATTGCTGGTCCTCAAATGCAGGTGGCCATGTACACCAGAACTGCACAGCTAGTAAGAGTACAAGAATGAGCCACACACTTGATCCTAGAGGACATCTCTGGAAGTCAGGACGTCAGGAAAGAAGGAATTTTCCCACAAGTTGCCAGCGTAACCTTGGCCTAGACTGTGTGAGACAACTTCTGCTACACTCTAGGACTTCCCAGGGCTATAGGAAAGTAAGAGATACAATTTTTGGCATTGTTTCTCTAGCATAGGGACTATGCTGAACTGGAATGTTGGCATTGTTCCATTTTAAGAATGAGCCAAGAATATTGTAATTTCCATTAAGACAGCCGTTCCAAGGGGGAAACCCAGTCTGTACAGCAGTCATCACCCACATAAAGGACAGTGCTTCTAAGGAGGGAATTTTTTCCCTATCATTATATTTTGAGCAATGCCTTTGCATCAGAGATCTGTGATGACAAGAAGCACATTAGCTGGATGACACGCAGCTTCCATGAAGGACTTCTCATGAATGACTTCTAAACCAAGACACTGGGAAACATCTGGAATCTGATCCAAAGCTCTCCTGAAAAAGATGTAAACACCTAATCTGACAGCTAATCTGACAACTGTGCCCTGCCTCAGGGCACAAATGAACAATGAAAAATAAAAGAATCTTCTTGCCAACATGCAATGCCTTTGTTCAGCTCCTGCCATAACTAACGGGAAGGAAAAGGAGGCCTCCTGTATAGTTCATGAAACTTACCTTTCAAAAGAATTTGGACAATAAAGACAATCATGGGTGTAACCAAAGCCCAACATTGCTCCCTCTGTATCTCAACCAGATGGCAAAGCTTCCTGGGCTCTGACCTTGGTCTTATGTATCGTTCTGGTAGAAAATAAACACTCAGCATTGCTTTTTAGTGATTGATTCCTGATTTTTAACTTGCCAATGGAACTTCTGAAGGAACTTTACACATCAGAGTTTTGCATCAAACCTCTCATCCCTTATGATGTCCCCAGTAGTAACCGATTACTGGCACTTCAGAGGAAGGTTAGGAAAGAAGACAGAATGTGTCAACTGTGCGATGTAATTAAAAGCAAAATTCCCTCTGCAACATACGCAGCAGTGAGCCTACGCAGTGTGACATTTAAAAATGACTGGCAGTCACTGAAACTTTAGAAAAAAACCCTAGGATTTCATTAACTCAGGAAGCTCATGCATATCTTTTCCGGATGCTGTATGAACAATTACAGCCTTCCTGTTGTTGGACAAAGCCTTTTTCAGATCACAAGTCTGTCCACAGGAGAAGGGAATGGAAATTCCTTTAAAGAGCTGAAAAAAAATCAGCAGAAGGAGCTGTAGGAGGCATTGTGGGCTCTGGAGAGGACCTGGCAGTGGAAAAACTGCTCAGTCTCTGCAGAAAACCTCAAATTAGGGAAAAGATGGGACATATACATTGGATCATGCTTATATCTTTTAAAAGCAATGAGTTAATAAAAGTGATAATTGACCTAGTTTCTTACACATATATTTCAAAGCTGGTTGAGAGAAGCTAAAATCGATTATAATTTGCTCTCTTAGAGTTAAATTTCCATCATTTCAGTTCAAACCAAGTATTTTCTAAAATTTTTTACACTTTGGCTGATACAGAATAGAAATAGAACATTTTCATCTTGGAACACTGTACAGTCACAGGGTTACAAAAAAAGATGGCTACAAGGCCCCTCCATCCTACTGTCTAGATCGCAGCAGCATTGTTCCGTGGATTCTTTTTCCTGAAGTTTTCTTTAGCTCACTATTACAAATCACCAGCACTGAGGTTTTTGTCATCTATCTAGAGAGGATGGAGAGACTGTCGGAGGTGGATCGCCAAACACTAACCTGCAGCACATGGTACAGACAACCAATCTACCCCTATTGTTCTGGGAGGTGGAAGCAACCTCACTGTGGTAAGTGAACCCACAAAGCCCTAAGCCTTGCAGAAGAAAACCCCAAGTTAGGAAACCTTTTATTTCTGTCACTGATTAAACCTATCTTACATTGATGCATTTTCCTTGACATTTGAATTAATGAACCAAATGCCTCTAGTGAATTCAAGATGAGCCTGTGACATCTAAAACTGCTTCCTGGCAGCTGCATGATGATACAAACTGTAGGCTATGACTTCACTGCAGAATCATTCGGCAGGACAGATTGTTAGAAGTTATTTAGATACTATAATGAGTGTTACAGTATGGCTATAAAAGAAATACCTGTTTTACATACGGGAGATCTCTATGTGCCTAGGCAAAGGGATTATCCTAAAATGTCATGACTTTGACAAAGTAAGTCCTCCTTTAGAGATTAAAAAAATGCAGATATCTCTTTCACTTACTCAGGGGGGTTTTCATTGGGTTGCACAGGACACCATGCCTCGACCTCACAGGTTTTAAAAGTTACATTATAATCCACACATCTTCCTGTTTGAATTCCTGTAGAGAAACAAGCTCTTAGCAAAGACAAGAGGTTTTTGCCAATTAAAAGACAGTTTCAACATGTCAGTAGATTCCTCCCCAAATGTAAGATAGGGAACTTGACATTTCAGATTGTTGCAGGTTTCTATAGGAGGAAGCTGTAGGAAGAACTACCCAAGCCATGGTCATGCCACACCTCATCAATCCTTATTTAGCTGTTTGCTTGGGTCAACAATGCTTGTCATTGTTTGGGCTGTGGGTGAAGTAATTTCCTTCACAGTTTTATATGAAGTTACATATCTGAGCCATGGGATAAATTGAGAAGCCAACTGTTTCAGTCAGAAGTTTAATTCAACAACAAGAGTAAATTAAACAAGGATATAAAGGTGGGCAGAAAACCTTCATTCTTTCAGCACTCCTGGAAAGTCAGCATTTTCTGTGAGCACTTAGTCTTTACCAGGGAAAGTGATAATGCAGCCAGCAGCCCAAATTCAGGGAATCTCAACACTACAAAGAACTCGAATAGCTGATGAAAACAGTATGATGCCTTCTGGACAACCGGTCCCACATAAAGAACACAAGTCCTGTGACTTATCCCGAGAACTACCTAACCATCATAGTGGTATTACAAACCCTTCAAACAAATCCTGCAGTTACTCCACTTGCTAAGCAGCCACAGAGCTCAGATGGGAGTGTGTCTGGTTTGGCCTCATTCACAGCCACTCAGTGCTCTTCTTCACCTCTCCCCTTTCTGTGCTCCCTCTCACTGTTTCTCCTTTTAGTAAGGGTACAAACAAGCTGATAAGAACTCAGGTTTGTGGGTTTGAAAATACGTTCTCAGAGATCTCTCAGGATTGTAGGACTGTTCTACTGCAATTCTCCCAGCTGGATCTTGCACATGCTGTACCGGTCAATAATGCAATAGAAGATAGTACCCACAAAAAGAAAAATTTCAATCTTAAAATGCTGTTCACTTACCATTACTGTGGGTATCTATGGTCCCATTTTTACAGCCCTCGTCTGAAGAGCAGATAGCTTTGGCGAAGGGATACTGGAAAAGATTTATATAAAGAGCAACATAAATATCTCCCTCTCCACACCTATGTAAAAAGTCTTAGTCAGCTTCAATGTAAAAATATCAAATAATAAGAGAAAATAACAATGCAAAGCAGGTATAACCCTTACTAATTGTTTGGCTTACAGGAGACAAAGGCCTAGCTACCTGCAAAACCAGAAAAAAGCCCTTTCCCTGCTTACAATAACATTTTCCTTTATTATTTACGTCTTTTCCCATCTTTCCCGCTCTCTCCTATAATATTAAGCACAATAAATTTAATCCTGGACTATCTGATTCTTTGTTTACTAGCAGTCCCATACTTTTGCCAGTGAAAGTCAACTTGTACTTAGGAACTACTCTGCAAGGTCCCACTTCTAGGCCAGCCAAATGAAGAGGAGAGAGAGCCTCAGCTGATGACCAGGTTTGACCTACAGTAAGAAAGGAAGGGGACACATAGGAATGAACAACAGTAATAGTAAGAGAACCATATTAGCAGAGAAGCTGAGAGCGACTCTGTAGCTCCATCATTTCTCCAGGTTTTCCTCAAGAGCAGCAGCAATGCCAGAGAAGCTGCACAGCAATCACTGGCCTGAATGTCATCACCCTCTGAAAGTAATGGAGATAGGTTTGACTTCAAGGTCATTGGTGGGAGGCAAAGTCACAACTGCCAGCTGATTCCCCCAGAAAGAAAAGAAGCATTTAAACTAGATTTTGCATGTTATTTGCTGAGATACAGACATTAAGAGCAACAATATTTGCTTGTACTGGACCTCTCCGAGGACAGTTCACTCTTTTACATCAACATGCATTCAAGACATCCTAAGCATAAATCACAAAACATATTTACCTCAGGGCACCTCTGCTTACGTTGATTCTCTGTCATAATGATGTTGGTCATCACAAAAAAAGAGTTTGTCGCCTACATGGAGGAAAGAATATGAATCTAACTGAAATTTCACATACTCAGTTCAGACCTCACTTATTCCAGATCATCATCTGGAAGGACAACAAGGCTGTTCTGGCCCTACCTCCCCATGATATACATTCAGATTCTATCTATCTCAAACAGGAAAAGCCAGTGATATCATCAGGGCAGGAAAAAGCAGCCAGAGGCAAGAAAGCACTGATTTTTTTTTTTTTTTTTTTTTTTTTTTTTTTTTCAAATTAGCATTACAACTGAGAAACATAGACTAGCATTAGTTGGTAGCAACACTACTTTGTTTAGTATATTTATATTGGAGTGAATCTGTTCCTAGGTTAGCTATTAACAAAATACTAAATTGATTATATAAATATTGTGTAACAAATAGCACTGCAGAAATCTCATAAAAGAGGATTATCTTTTTTCCCTATATTAAGGGAGGAAGGGAAGATTTGGCTTTAAACATTGCTTTCTCCCATGTAATCACACTGAATGGCAGTAGAGAGACATGTCAGCAAAGCACCAGATGTATCAATGGAAGTTGAATACTGGACTGACATTAAATTAAGACTTGCCTGCATCGGTATAGTGTATTCTGCTATATCCCAGATCCTGTCCTTTGTGTAAGCCACTCCCTTCACATTAGTGCGAACTGAGCTGCTAATTTCATCCACCTCCTCCTGATAGAGCCTGTTAACCGCGATGAAGGAACTGGCCAGACAAAACAGAAAGGACAAGTAAGCCCTTAGGAATAAAATGGATCAGCTTCTTTGTATCGTTCTTGGACAAACCCGCTGCAAGATAGAAGTCAGATGGGCATTTTCAAGTCATTGAGAGCCTTTTTGTGTGAGATACATGCATTGGCTGGACCTAAGTCTGCCTTGGTTTCACTTCCGCAAGCTTTGTCTTTGTCAGAAATTAACTGATACATGCAAGAGGAGAATTTCTATTTTCCCACCCTAAATGATATAGACAACATGAGGTGACATCCTGGCCCCCCAGATGCCATTTGTGAAATAACAATTAACTGCAACAGGACTTAATGTCATCCAAAAATTGTCACCCATGCTGCGTTGCTCTGTACCTAGACTTTGACTTTTTCTGTCACATGGTAGTGTCCTTGTTACATTGGTTTTTTGGTTTTGTTTTCGTTTTTTTTTAAGAGAGCTTAAAATACTTAGTCAATGTTCCAGAGTGACTATTTTTGTGCTCATGCTGATTGCTTCAAAAACCTTGGCCTAACGTTTTCACGTTCCCATGAATTGAACGTGTTAATAAAAGACTCATCTAACTCATAAAAGCACCAGCAACTTTGAAGAAACTATTGTATGTTCAGAGGATACTTTCCACACCACATAAAAGTGATATAAAAGGTTTACTTTGAAAAACAAGCTACAAGAGCTAGCACCATTTCAGTTTAACAACAGACTGCTCTGGTGGCAGATAAAATAGTATCTGAAGAACAGAAACACAAAGCAACTGATCAGTGTTCCTTCATTTATATTGTCTATTTTAATAGCATTTCAGCCTTTTCCTTCTGGAAAACTGCTTTGGGATAACCATGGTCCTGGAAACTGGCAGTGGGAACTCAGCTCTGAGCAGCACTAGGTAGGTACAGTACCTTAGTAGAATCACAGGATCAGAGTAATTTGGGTTGGAAGGATCCTTGAAAGATGATCTAGTCCAATCTCTTTGCAATGAGCAGGGACATCTTGAACATTTTCATTAGAGTAGTTTTAGCTTTCTTTTCAACCCATAAGTCTCTCTCTCGTGTTCTCTCTTCTCTCCTGTGTAGGGAGATGCTCTCCCTTCTTGAAAGGGAGAGAGCTTAAAGAGAGCATCTGTCGCTCATTTAGTGGCCACCCCAGCCCAATCCAGAACAATCAGGTTGCTCAGAGCTCAGTCCAACCTGACCTTGAATGTTTCCAGGGCTGGGGTAACCACCACCTCTCTGGGAAACCTGGGCAAGTGTTTCATCACCCTCAGTGTAAAACAATTTCTTCCTTCTACCCTACCCTTTTAAGTTTAAATCCATTACCCCTTTTTCTATTGCAACAGGCCCTACTGAAAAGGCTGTCCCCATCTTTCTTATAAGCCCCCTTGAAGTACTGGAAGACCACAATAAGGTCTCCCTGAGAGGGAGAAGTAAGGCAACTTGAATTTCCTGCAGACTTGATTCTTTGTGAGATTGCAATCAGCATGCTCAATGTTCTGGCTGGCTGCCCTCTCATGAGAATGAAACCAACTTTATGAACTTCGGCAGACTTTGTTCAGCAAGCACTTATCACCGAGAACAGCCCTAGTCTGGCAGCAAAGAGGAAAATCTGCCCTTTAGAGGCAATCAATTATTGCATATTCCTAAAACATCTTATTGTTCTTGAAATCTGCTACAAGTGGTGACTCGCCATTTCATCTGACCCTGAATAGGAGACTCTACAGAGCAGACTTTAATCTCAGAAACACTGGTGTAAATCTAAGATTATTTGGTGGAGTTATTTTGGGTTTTTCAGACCAGAAACAAAACCAGTCAGCATGACGAGAAACAAAACTGCAAGTGTTTTTTAGAGGAAGCTTAGTTAACTCTGTTCAAGCAACTCCACCTTGTTAGATAATATTAAATGCCAAATTCCCACTACAAAGTTCCCACAACCACATCCATCTTCAAAATGGTCTAACGCCAGATCAATGAACTTGTTTGCTGCCACAAAACTCAAAGCACTGAAAGCCAAGCTGTAACCAACCTCCAATACAACCAACGCTCGTTCATGTACAACACAGCATCCCATCACCATGAACTTACCCAAGCAACACAGCAGCAACTAGATAAAGGCAACCTTTCACACGCGCCCATGTAACAGCCTCAACCCGTATGTATTTTGGAGACTTGTACTCAATCACGTTCTCCAGGCAGCCCTGCATACTCATTGCTAGTGCTTCCTGTGAGGTACAGGATTTTGAGAACCACAGCCACGTGGTACTGTCTTCTTCCATCCCTGCATCCTGCCCAGGTCTCTCCTCTTAAAGTCACAGTCAGAAACCTGTATGAGAATGGTACCACAGGCCTTTTAAAGAACAGCAGTTGATGGAATCAAGAACTACCTGAAGAGCCATACCCTTTGGTTTGTTCACAAAAAAAAAAAGTACCAAATTTCAGCCTGGAGCATCAGAGCTGAATGCCCAGCGCTGTTCTTGTCACCTTCTGTTGATGTTACCATCTTTCCTCAGTACTACCAGACTTTGCCAGTCTGAAGTAACGCTGGGACAATTGTAGAGATGAGGCTAAACAGTTGGAAGACAGTGTTACACTGACCTCCTTCTGAGCCTGACTCTCCACCACCCAACACTTCACACTACTGCAAAGAAAATGTAATGCACTTCTGGACCAGGCAGACACATGCGACATCTACTTTGCAAGGTAGCAATGGCCATGCAAGGCGCAGGGCAATGACAGAGCAAGCTTTTGGGTCATCAGTGGCCACAGAGATCTCCAGCTTCTTCTCTTGCATTGCATGGGACACCATCCTGTATGGTCTTAGATTGGTTTTGTATCAGATCACGGGATTAAAAGGGAGTGACAAAGTCACTATTCCTCTCAGCAGAGCCAATACATGCACATTCTTTGGCTGCAGTCTCTCCTACTCCACAGAGCCATGCACAAGCCAGAGCTGGTCCATGTCCTGCAAGACCACTCTGTCTAGTCCAGGGAGTCAAGGAGCAGGTGTGTGGCCACCATCTGACGCTGTAGGATCAGGGTCCTCTCTCTTGCAAAAGAAGACCCACAGAGGCACAAAATATACAAAACCTACAACACAGATCTAATGGTTTCCTTCCAATCCTTCAGTATTTTAAATCACCTAGGATGCTGCCTATGGCTGTAGGTAGCCATTCAAGACAAAACATTCAAGACCAGGCAGGTTTCTGGGCTATCAGTATGGTCTTAAATGTTTTAGCACAGAGGAACAAGTTACATTCTGCACAAACAGGCTTAATTTTTGGAGACATCAGTGATCACTCCTTAGGCTTTTGCTGACCACGGTCCATAATAGCAGGGTTGGTATTAGTGACACTTCAGCAAGCAAAATCCCCCTACATAATAACTGAAAAAGCTGCAAGTAGGACCCAGAAACAGACCTAGGATGCTTTTAGAATAGACACAAAGAAATTGATTTTTAATATAACACAGTGAGACCTATGTGTGCATAAACATAACAATATTTATTATAAAAGACACAAACAGGAGGGCTCAGATTGTGTAAGTGAGCAGAAGTTAAGTGTTGTCTTCTCTTGCTAAATGCTCTTTTTTTCACATTAATGTCTTCCATCTGTTTGGGATCTGACCTCAGCAGCTCAGCCGGACGTATTCATCTCCTTGCCCATTGTGTTCCCATATAAGGTGATCTCTCTTTGCCCGTGGAGCACGATTTCGATTTGCTCAGGTTTCGTTCCACTCTGATTTGCTGGCCTCTATGGTTGAGCTCTCTCACAGTTTTGCAAAGCAGTCATCCACAGCAGTAGCTATAAAGGGAGGAGAAAGTCAGGAGGAAGTGATGAAGCTGTGCCTGCAGATCTAAAGAGCTCTGGATCATTTATTTGCAGATTCCATTCTCTTTCTGCCGCACGTTGCCTCTGCATGATGTCTTTTCAATAAGCAGGTTCCATAAGCCTTTCCCGAGCAATATAAAACATCAGCCCCCCGACCCAGAGAACTGGATGGACTTATAGGGCTCAACTCTGATAATAACTCTCATGTCATTAGGAAACTTCGCTTGAAACTCTGTGTCGCTTTCCATGCAAACTAACTTGGGAATTTGGAAAATGCCCCCAGAATTATACAACAAATACATAAGAGCACTGGTCTTGGATTCTGTAAGATTTGATCCAGATTGTGTGAAGATTCTTGTGAAGATTCTGTTGTGATAGAGAGGTCAAGACCTTAATTTTTTTTTAAGCAGTAAGTTAGAAAATTCAGGCACCACTACAGACTGTAAATATCAAGCAGCAGGTGGGCAACCTGGGTAGCAGTACAGCTACTTTGGGCTGCATGTACAAATAGCACAAAACCGTTGGAAGGAAGGATCATGAAAACCTCTAACTTTAAGGACGACACAGAATCCCCTACACTTGCCCCAAGTTGGGAAGTCCCATAGAACTGGGCTCCGATGTATGATTTTGCTCCTGCCCCCAATCAATTGAGCTTTCAAATGGGCCAACAACCCAGAGCTCAGCCAGTCCAGTTCTAATGACATCTGGTCATGAAGGTCTCCTTCCCCAAGTCAGAACAATCAGACTTCATGGCTTTCCACCACAATACAGTGAAAAAATCTTTTTTTTCTTCTTATCTTAGTGCTTTCTAAAGTTTTCAGACATCCTTCCTCTTCTTTATTTGTTGCCTCTGTAATGTTACAGAGACATGAGAAGACCAGAACTTGCTTCTTGGAAGTTGTAAGGACTGAAATAATCTGATGTAAAGAATCTGAGAGCAGCAACCTCTCATTCTACCCAGTGCAGATCCCTCTCCATGTTTAGCACTGTGAGCACAATTGCTGTCTCCTCCTCTGCACTGAGGCCTGAAGAGAGGATGTGTATCAGATCTCTTCTGGGAACTTGTAGGTAAATACGATTCCTAAAGGTCAGTATACAGACTGAAAGCACAAAGGAAACATGATCAGGTTTTAAAGTTGAAATCCAGGAGTCAGGAGACTTGGATTATGTTCCTGGCTGTACCACAGCTTTCATGCACAGTCACAAGCAACCTATCCATCCCCTCTGTAACTTAGTTTAGCCAGTCAAAAGCTAGGACAGCATTGCAGTGTCACTTGTCAGGCTTCCAATGAAGACAAGTAAATTAGTATTTTATGAAGAATTTTCTGCTCCTCGGAAAGAAAAAAAAGGAGCTAACCTAAGATAGACGCAGTGCTTAGAATTGCAAAGTATTACATTTATGATTGCTATTTACTGAGTCAAATTCTGCAGTGATTTACAACCTGTGCCTTTCAATTGGCACCAATTTAATATGACTCACTGCATATTTTAATCCATCATCTGTGGAATCACATGGGATTCTAAGACTATCCAAGAAGCTAATTGCAATAGCAGAGGCTCCAAAATCCACCTATTTAAGGTCTAAGCATGGGCTTTGAAGGATCGGCAACAAAAAACTTGCACATCAAGAGACACATTTCATGAACAAGTTTCGCTTTAATGTATTTTTTGACCACTTGGTATTTTTGAAGCTCCTGTCCTTGTTTCAGTTTTAGCATAGCCAGCACTACATATTTATCGCTACTTTGAGGCACACCAACAACTGATGTTCAACCCTAAGGACATAAATTTGCCCATAACGAAGACTGGCATTCCTGTTTCACAAGGAACCTCTATACATTTTCCCACTTCAAAGAAATGAGGTAACCATTCACCTGATCCGTACATCAGCCACACTTGACACCACTTTATGCTGTCAAAGACTGCCAGAAATCTTAATTGCATAACTGCATCAATCTGTTTGTACATCTCCTACACACGCGACAACAGCCTCCCTCTTGAGAAACCACACAGCTAAGTATATCCTCTAGAGGGTGAATCTGAAACCTATTTCCACCGTTCCTTGCATCAAGAGCAGTTGCGCTGCGAAGATGCCATGCGAGACACTCGGCCCACGGTGTGCGCACCCCAGCATCACCTACAGTGACCACAGCCCTGCTTTCCACACAGCACAGCAGCACCCACCCCACCACTAAATCCCCCTCATTTTTAGCCACGGTGTTGCTCCCACCCCCCCGGCCTTGCACCACAGCACGGGGCACGACCTGCTGCTCTGGCAGCACCACCAGCTGCCCTCTGCTCAGGAGATGGGGATAAAAATTCTCAATTCCTGCCCAATTAGGGCGGGAAGGGGGAAGGAGTGAGCTTCCCAGAGCCCCCACCGAGCTGGCAAGGCGGCGGGAAGGGCTACCGGGGGACAAGCCGCGACGCCGCCGGGAGGCCTCCCGGTAGGGCCTGCCTCCCCTCAGGGAGGGAACCGGCTGCGAGGGCAGCGAAACAGGCGAGGAGAGAGCAAGAACCCGCCCTCACACCGGGAGAGCCCACCGCGTCCCGCCGGGGCGGCGGCATTCTCTACAAACCGCTCCCCCCCCCCAGCCCCGCCGCCGCTCCGCGCGTGCGCAGACGCCCCCTCGCTCGGGCCCGTTTCCAGCCGCTCCGGCGCGTGGGCAGAAAGCGCGCGGTAGCATCGGAAGTGACGCCGTCGCCCTGGCCCGGCCAACCGTTACCAGGGTAACCGGGAGGTGCGCGCGCGGGAGGGCCGGGGCGAAGGACGAGGCCTCCCCGTTACCTCAGGGTCCGGCTGCCTCCCCCCCGCGCTCTCTGTGAGGGGCCGGACCTTCCTCCCTAGGCCGCGGGCCTGAGGGGGAGGCCGGGCCGAGCCCGGGGCCAGCTCGCCGCCTCAGGGGTGCCGTGGGCCTCGCTGAGGTGGTGCCTCCACCCGCCCTCCCGGCCGCCCCCGGCTCCCTCTCCCCGCCCGAGGCCTCCCGACATCTCTTCTGTTCTTTTCTGCAGAGGTTTTCCCAGGCCACGATTATGAGTGACCAAATCCAGTTCATTGTTGAGAAGCTCAATCAGGAGCCCTTCCGGAAGAACTACAATTTAATCACGTTTGACTCCTTAGAGTCCGTGCAGCTGTTACAGCTGCTCAATGATGTTCTGGGGGAGATTGACCCAAAGGTAAGGAAGTCAATCAGAGGCGCTCAGACCTGCATAATTGCAAGCATCTTAAATGGGCTTGACGCAGAGATTTGCTTTTATTTAGGTCTGGCTCTGTATAATCTTGTGGCATGTTTGGTTTACCAAAATAGCTTGTATGAATCTTCCTGGAAGTAAATGTGCCTGGCAAGAATCCTTTCTATCTATACACCTGTGTGTTTTTAGCAAACCAGCACATGTTTCTTGGGCCAGGGATACTGGATCCTTGTCCCCTAGAGACTGATGACTTTTTC